GCTCCAGCCCCTGCCCCAGCCTCGCTGCCCTGCTCTGGCCACGCTCCAGCCCCTCCATGGCCTTCGTGGGGTGAGGGGCCCAGCGCTGAGCACAGCATTCGAGGGGCGGCCTCACCAGTGCCCAGCACAGGGGGACCATCACCTCCCTGTTCCTGCTGGCCACACTGTTCCTGATACAGGCCAGGATGCCACTGGCCCTCTTGGCCACCTGGGCACACTGCTGGCTCATGTTCAGGTGGCTGTCAACCAACACCCCCAGGTCCTTTCCTGCCGGGCAGCTCCCAGCCGCTCCTCCCCACGCCTGCAGCGGTGCCTGGGGTTGTTGTGCCCCAAGTGCAGGACCCGGCCCTGAGCCTTTGCTGACCCTCACCCAGTGCCTGGGCCCATCGCCCCAGCCTGGCCAGGGCCCTCTGCAGGGCCTCCCTGCCCTCCAGCAGATCGACACTTCCACCCAGCTCGGTGTCACCTGCAAACTGACTGAGGGTGCCCTCGATCCCCTCACCCAGTGCTGAGACACCATCATGGCTTCATATGCTCTACCAGCCTGGAGAAACCCCTAAGACGGACCAAGGTGGGCTTGAAACCTCACTCCAGACACAGGCCCACCTGGAGGTGGAAGAGTTTCAACCAGCCATGGCTGCAAAGCTGCGGTTTCCCAAGTGCTAGAGAGAGGTCCAGCCACCCCAAAGGCGTGAGCCGGCAGCGCTCAGGCTGACTCTGCCCCGCGCGTTCACCGTTGTGCTCACGGCCGCAGCCTCCACGCAAGGAAAACACGTAGGGAGCCTCTGCTCCCAAGGGACCAGGTCTGGTACCCGGGCAGGGCGGGAGAGCAGCCTGCAGGATTGGCAATTTGTTCATGCAGCCGCTGGCAGCTCGGCCACCACGGCTCACATCCAGCCGCCGGGCAGCTGCGTGGGGCCAGTCCCGACTCACCAAGCCCATCTGGAAAGAGCCTCCTGCCCCGTTCCGCCGCACGCCCCAGGAGAGGAGCGGCTTCAGCCAGAGTTGTGGTTTCTCGCTGCCCTCCTTGCGCTCGCAGGCAGCATGAGCTCCGCTCCCTGCTGTGGCCGAGCTCCCGGTACGCTGTGCTTGGCTTGACCCACCCGTTCCCCGCAGCCACTTTGCTTTTTAGCTGTTCTGGCGGCTGCTCCCCACCTCTCTGCGCAGGCCAAGCGCGATGCCAGTTCAGATGATGCTCCGAGCCCCCAAACCCAGTTGCCTCCCCCAGCCCCGGTCTCCCCAGCACAGGGACTCCCTCCCGTGGCCAGGCTCGGGGGCTGTCTCCAGCTCTGACGCAGAAGGAGGCATTTCTGGTCTGCTCTGCTCTAAGAAACCAGCTAGCTTCCAGAATCCAGGCTGGGTTTCCCCTTCTAAGAAATTCAGCTGCAGCTGAATCGGAGCTGGACATCCACCAAGAGCAGCCGGTTTGCCCTCGTCATGACTTGGAGTTTGCTGTTTGGAAAAAATTAAGAAGACGAGGCTTCTTAATCTTCCCACGTGCCTCTGGACGCGTGGGATTTGAGACAGCACCATTCCCTCGCTGGCTGGTTGCGGATCCGATGAAGAGCCCGGGGCTGGCCGGGTGACATGCCCCAAGAGCGAGGCAGGCACCGCGCAGAGGGGCCCTGGGCACACAAGCCTCCCCTCTGCGGGGCAGAGAGGACCCCCCCAGAGGCCACACAGCCGCAGGGCACAGCTCGGCCCCGTTCGGGCAGGCGAGAAAAGCCTTGCTGCTACGGGGGCAGGGAGCCTGTGACCAGCTAGGCTCAACAGAGAGCACACGGGAACC